CCTATCACAGCCGCCCCTCACCACTCACATCAGGGCCTGAGCCCACCTATCACAGCCGCCCCTCACCACTCCCATCAGGGCCTGAGCTCACCTCCCATCAAGCCGCCCCTCACCACTCACATCAGGGCCTGAGCTCACCTCCTATCACAGCCGCCCCTCACCACTCACATCAGGGCCTGAGCTCACCTCCCGTCACAGCCACAGACTCATTAGATTCTCACAGGACTGTGATACCCACTGTGAACAGCACGTGAGGTACCTGGGTTGTACCCTGTGGGGCATCTGTGGAAATCTTTGTTAGATTCGTAAGAATCTAATGCCTGATCATCTGAGGTGGAGCTGAGGCGGCGAGATGCTGGCACTAGGGAGCAGCTATACCCAAGATGGGACCATCTAGTGGCAGAAAGACAAACTCAGGGCTCCCACTGTGTCTGCTTTATGGTGAATCAAATAATTATTCCATTACACATTCATTACAATGCAATAATTACAGAAATAAAGTGCACAACATGTACCATCCCCGACCTCCGTGTGTGGAAAAAATGTCCATGAACCCAGTCCCTGGTGCCATAAAGGTTGGGGTCTGCTAGTCTCAGGCACAAATCCCTTCCTAAAGCCCTAAAAATGGAACAAAATCTAACCTCTTCACCACAGTCTACAAATCCCACCATCTACTTTTCCAATCTTATCTTTCTCTACTGTCTCATCATTTACTCTCCCCAAATAATAACTCTTTTCTCTTTCTGGCCCTTAAACACACCACGCTAATTCACTTCTCAGCTCCTCTGCACTCAGTGCTCCTGCCGCTCAGAATGTCCTCTGCCTCAATCATCACACTGCTCCTCCTATCTTCACTCAGCCCTCTACTTGAACCACTCCGTCCCAGAGAACAACAATGCACCATTTCATCAGTGGGTGTATCATTTGTCTCACCCCTACCTCTCCTCCGCAAAGGAAAGCCTCCCAGGACAGGAGGGACTTGTCTGTCCTGCTTATTGCTGTATCATCGAGGCTGGAACACTGCCTGGCACACAACAGAGGACTCATAAATATGCAATGAACTATTGATGGAAAACTGGAATTCTTCAATACTGGCATGCTCAACAGCTCAGAAGCAAGAACGGCAAAGGGAAAGCCGAGCCTACGTACAAAGCGGCAGAGCAGGTACCAGCCCTTACCTGGGCTAGCCTGGCCCACCAGAAATCTAAGATCTTCCCCTCAGTCCCATTCCAAGAACCTCATCGGTGCTCATGGTCAGACACTGTCATTGTCATGTCAGCACATCACAGTGTGAGCCCCTGCATCCCTGTGACAAGCCCTAGCTCAGATGCTGGGTTCTCAGCTCCCTGCGGGCGTGCACACCCCCACAGTCCCAAGCTCATCTGGCCGTGGTCACCACAACTACAGAGGCCTCAGCAAGTCTCGTTCCCAGACTCTGTCTGGAAAAGCTGTAGGCCTAAGTCATGTTCACCGAGGCAGCTCTTCTGCATGAAATACATTGCCACAGGCTCACCACAGACTGTCCTGACCCCCACTGCCTTGTCCCCACCATACCTTGTTCAAACCCAAATTTGTCACTCCCCTTGGATATTTTAACTTGGACCACACTACCCTCAGCTTAAAAATTACTTATTGGTCCCAGCACTCTGGGAGGCCAAGGAGAATAGATTGTTTGAGCTTAAAGTGTTTGAAACATGCCTGAGCAAGAGCAAGACCCTGTCTCTACTAAAAATAGAAAAACTAGCCAGGTGTGGTAGTTGGCCTATACTCCCAGCTACTCTGGAGGCTGAGCCAAGAGGATCTCTTGAGCCCAAGAGTTTGAGGATACTATGAGTTAGGCTGATGGCACTAACTCTGGGCACAATAGAGTACCCTGGGCACAAAAGAGTGAGACTTCGTCTCAAAAAAAAGTTACTCAGCTCTTTGCTGAGTTCTTCTCTGGATATTGCCCCTGGCTAAAGAGAGTCATTTCATTCAAGGTTCATCTCTGTGGGGTGGCAGATATCCAAAGACTGGCCATTGCCTCAATTCAGACATCTTTGAGGGGCTTTCCCAACTTCAGAGGTTCCTCAAGGGATCAACTGAGACATCTGTCGGAACTTTGATAGAGTTCAACTTCTTGCTCTGTCTGTCCTGCTTCCTTCTTTCACTCTCCCTGGTCCTCATCTAGACAGCAGTGCCCAATAAATACACTTCCTGCTTGTGTATTTCTATCACAGAGTCTGTTTCCCAGGAAACCTACACTGCATTGTTACCACTGTATGTTGTTTAATGTATATAGTATTTTGCATGGAAAATATATTTCATTACCCTTGTGCTTAGACATAAAAATTAACTCATGTAATAAAATTTGTCATTTGTTTCCATTAAAAAAAAAAAAAGTTACCTATTGATTGCCTGCCCCCCAGGTTAGGGCTCCCCAGTCTTCCCCCCTTGCATTTCTGCCTCAAGCCCCGATCTCAACCAGACTTTTACTAAGGTGCCCAAGTCTCTCACCTCCACAGTTATCTAATGACAGGCGTCCCACAAGCTCTTAGAGATGAAAGAACAGCATTACCCCACTTATACAGACAAAATAAGGCTCAGAGAGGTTAAACAATTTGGACAAGGTCACACAGCACTTAAACAGCAAAGCCAAAATCCAAATCCAATCTAAGCATATAGCCCTGTTCATTATGCTCTGTTCCTTATTCATTTTTTTTTTTGTACCACCAGGACTGAGTACTTAGCAAATACTCCATCAATGTCTAACTGATAGGATGCCTTAAATATCCATTTTTTAAAGCAATACCACCTAATGGGAACTTCTTTCAATGTTTATCTACACAACATAGGGATTTACACAGCAAAAGCACTCTGCACAACCTCTACTCGGCCTGCTCCCCCAGGCCCCACAGAGTACTGGGTGGGCACACTTCTGCCCCTTCAGCCAAGCTGAGTTTTACCAGCTCATACACATTGTAATTGTCCCCACATCTGTTTATGATACTTGCACATGTTATGGGAATTACATAACTTAAATAAATATATGTTATCCAAAAATCTGAGTGTAAAAAGACAGTTGTTCCTAAGAAACCTAAGTTGATTGCTTTAAAGTGACATGATCAATGTGTTACTGCAAAAAATAAAATAAACTTTTTATCAGATTAG